TATATGAATATCTTTATATTTATTTACTATATTTAACTTATACGTAATAATATCCTGAGATACGACCTTATACTCTAATTAATTTCCCGCCCATCCTAACTGCTATGTCAGTTAGGATGCTTCCCCGCTGCTCCCAACCATTCGGCCCTCCTGCTCCTTCCTTTCTACCGTTCGGCCCTCCTGCTCCCTCCTTTCTACTGTTCGGTCAGCTTGCTCCCTTCCTTCTACCGTTCAGCCTGGTCACTCCCTGCCTCCCACCGTTCGGCCTGGTAGCTCCCCCTTATCCACCGTTTGGTCTGACCATTCCCCCTTGTCCACCGTCCGGCCTTACCTCTACATGTCTGCCACCGTTGGCCTTTACGGTCAATACCGTACGGCCTCACTTCCCTCCTACCTTTCTTCTCCTTCTTATTACCTCCCAACTTATACCCTAATAGAAAATTACAAAGAGAAAATCATCAATATGGTCCTCGTAAGTTACATGCACCCCAACATTAGTCCTCCAAAATATTTATTTGCTAGATTAGTACCTCAAGTTTTTTACTACAGTGTTTTCCAAAGATTTTCACCAAATTAATCCCTCAAAGATTTGATATAAAGATTCTTTGTGCTCCATTTTAATCATAAGGATTAGAATGGTGAAAAATTCTCTAAAGGATTAATTCATTGACAAAATATTTAGAGGACTAATATATGATAAACATTTTGGTGACCAAAATTTTTGAAGGACTAATGTAGTGAATTATATAACTTTGGAGGACCATTTGAAGATTTCTCTATTTATAATGGAAATAGTTTACATATAAAATTTAAATATATTGAACAAACTACAAAGATTTAAATCCTCTAAAATGAGTAAAATTCTAATATGGTCCTAGCGCTACTCTAGGTAGTTCTTGCTATGTTCTCACAAGTGTAGTGTAATATTCTCATATCACAAAATTTCTAAATGTGGTGAACAGCCAAAATAACTAGTATTATATGATTCAATGCAATAGTCTACCTATTATAGGAGTCATCAAGTGAAACAATTATCTTATTATAAAAGGTTGAAGGAACTAATTTGGACCATTCAATCTTATATAGATGTGAGAACATTATCTTATTATAGAAGGTTGAAGGAATCAATCTCGGCAATTCAATCTTACATCAATGGTCAAATTTAGAAGTTGCATGTTCACTAGAAAATATCTCAACTTTATAGATGATAGTTGCAATCAGTCTCACTTAACACACCCTATTTATAGGGGTTATCAAGCGAAAACATGATCTCAAATTATCACAGTTGCAAGTATACACATTCACTTCACGTACCAGGAGAAGGGTGTGTCCACTGTCCTTAAAAACACGAACTTTGCAGTTTGACAATAATCCCGCAAGTCTTTGAGTTTCATTTACGCTGGGAAGCAAGTTATCCTTACCACTAGAATAGAAATTTTGTCAACATCCAGTGGAAAACATTAACTAGAAAATGCTAAATTCATACATAAAATTGTTGGCTCAGTTAAAATGTAAGAACCTAAGTCATAAATCAATAAATTTAAGCTAAAATAAAAGATCTAATACATCATTGACCTAGAAGAATGTGAGAACTGTAACTCTGAACCATACTATCATACATGGATGGTCAAAATTAAAAATTATCCAGTAATCACATGATACCACAAATACATTATTGATCTACTACTAGTTTATATCATTATATAGGTTACTGTGACTGAATTCTTGTATTACATTACAGTAGCCGCATAACCTCTTCCTATTAGGTTGGGTTGGTTGAATCAAACAAAGCCATAACATTTTGCATTGCAACTATAAATTTAGATTTGTGAGGCAATTAGAAGAACTTCTTTGAGGTATGATGAAATACAAAACTATGCATTGAGTATTATCATGTGAGGTGTCAATTCTAGAGAGAGTAAAAACCTAGCAAGTACAAGTACTTCAGCTTTAACAGCATGGAGACGCGAATTAGCATATGCAGCAGCTGATTTCAGAAGCTTCAGCTTCCATAGAAGAGTATCCCTTGGTATAATATTAGCCAGCTCCTGGCAATATATAATAAAGTTAAATACAGATGCAGCTTAACATAATAGCATATTATATGAACTTCGAGAATTTGTCCATAAAATAGAACAAAGAAAAAGGATAGAGGAAAAAGACAAATACTATTGCAATCCAGAAAATAAGAGGTATAATTAAACAATCACAAGGATTACCAACAAGTTGAAAGAAAAAACTTCATAATTGCGTACATGCTAGTGTGTAATTCTTATCAATTAGCTAAACATAGATACAATATAGCCCTAAACATTAAGAAATACAGAGAGTGACCAAGGACAGAATATTAAAAGCCTCTTACAGGAAGACATGGCAGCAATGCAGTAAGGTTGTATGCCAACTGTTCAAGTTTTTGGACTGGAGGAAGCCTATTTCCAATATTGACTGATGCCATCTTCACTGGATCGCCTGATGTCATTAAATATAACAGTTTATGTGAATTAATGAGATAAGATAAAGAACAGCAAGTTTGTTATGATACTGATATCAACATATATTCTTGAGACCCCATTCTGTTGAACCAGAACTTAGAGATGCCTTTTTGTTTCATATTTAGTTGTTATCTTCCCAGCAATGTGCTTCACTAGTGTATGTGTGTGTGTGTGTCATCACATTTACTCTGACATCTTTAGTTGTTGTACAATTCTGTCCCTCATATTTTATAAAATTCCTTTGGAATAGACGTAATTATTTCTTAGGCATAATTCACAAGATATAGAATAAGTGAGAATTGGATTATTATCCATAGTATTTGCAAATGAATTATATCTCCAGGAATATGCATATGAAATAGCTAGAATCTTAAGAAAAATATAATTTACCCATAATAAAGCCCAGAACAAAGGGAACAGCAACATGCAGTTCGTCAGGTAAAGCCTCCAAGATAGGAAACAGAGGTTGCAACTGAGATTGGCCAAAGGATGTAGCTGTGATTTGAAAAAGGTATAATGCCAGATTTCAGTTGAAAATCGACAAGATATCACAAACTAAATACATTAACAAATTTGACAAAAAAGAATACACCATTGATAGAATCACCTGGATTGGATAATATCAGTACCAGGTCAACAGTTGGATTGTGAGCAGCAACAGCAAGTGCTAAACATCCACCAAAAGAATCACCTACCAGATAAATTGGTTTATTTGGAGATAAAGCATGTTCGTGCTTAACAGCTTCTCCAACAAGTTTCACCAGCCCTTCAAAAATTCGACAATAAAAAAGGAAAACTGTCAGATTAAATATACATATTAGCTTTGCTAGCAAGTTTGAATTTATTCATTTATAAAATTTTACAATCAAGAGCGTCTTTAGGTTTGCATATTCTTAGGGAAAGACATTTTTTGTTTGCATTATTCTTAGGGAAAGACATTTTTTGTTTGCATTATTCTTAGGGAAAGACATTTCTTAGTTAGAAAATAAGACAATGTGAATGGTTGATTAGTTTTCCTTATATTTTTTTTAAGATTACTACCAGATAAGCAAGATTCCTGATGATTAGTTAGCCATTGATTAATCAATATTGGTTTCACTTCAAAGTAAACTGATAGCAATTCAATCTGTTCTAGATCACAGAAAGAGTTTTTGGAATGGAAGGTGGGAGGAGGAGGAAATCCCTCCAATCTAAAATTGGATTCTGATGATCAGAGTGCCCAAAGGAAGAGTCACTCAGTCTCACCCAATTCAGAATTCCCATAATGCTTCTCATAAGATCTATTTTAACCATATACTTCTCTTTAGTGTAAGATTTGAAGCAACAACATGCTTAATTGAAATTCTATGCTTCAAACTCATTACTATCCTACTTATAAATGTTCAATTGCTACGTGAGCAGCATCACATTTGAACTAGCCAATGTAGAAGTATGTTTTGAGAGCATTAAACAAAATGAAATTGAGAAGTTCTACATGCTTCAATAAACTGAACAACTCAAATCAAGCACTCCTATATCATCAAAAACAACAGAGAACTTTCAAAAGTTGACAAAAGCATACGTTAAAAAGCAAAGACCTTCAAAAGGTGTTTGATCATGAACTGGGATATGCAAGCAACGAACTTCAAAAACCCTGCATTGTAGAAAGTAAATATCATAAGAGAAAGAAAAACAAACAAGAACCAACATAGAATAATTGTTCTGAACAATATAGCAATCATATCCATCAAGCAGCTTAATATTTCATCAACCTTCAACAAGAATCTACTCTAAAAATAAAATCAGACCATTGTAAAACTGAGTAATATCTCAGACATACAATTTTAAAAAGCTGAAACTAATCCTGCATACTTGTGCTAAACAAACGCTATTTTGAAGTAGTTTTTAGCTAACTACTAAAGTACAAAAAACAACATACTTCCCAAGAGCTTGATGGTGCAAAGTGAGACCGAATCCCGTGCCATCCATCCCTGCACGAGGTAAACTAGAGAAATTTCAACACTCTGCATTTTCAATTTCAACATTCAATATAATACAACAACATTTAGAATTCATACACAACTTCAATTTGGGGTTTGAAAGTAGCAACTAGTATCACTCTGTCACATAAAAGTTTTCATCCATTCAAATCATCAGTCTTTGCGAATGAAACTGTTTTCAGGTTAAACACTCATTCACATTACACAAATATACTTAGATCTCCACTCTGATTTCTGAGGACCGAACTTTCAACCCAACTGTATTACTAATCCAAGTTTCTAACATTGAAAACAATCAACCACAACCGTAAAGTTGAATATAACCCAACATCAACACAGTCTTCATAAAGCATGAAAAGAAACCCATCCAACACTAACAATTTCTCCTATTAGTAAATTTTTTTCTTCTTAAGTTACAAAATCACGAGTAAGGTTTCATCAAACAAAGAAGTCACACACAAATTTATTTTGTTGTTATCTCCAATAAATATTAGCAGAAAAAGTGTCGTCAGAATGAATGTGTTAGATGCTATGTTACTAAAGTCTGAATAATGAACATACAACAAAATGTTTCTAAGGAAAACAATTTCATGCCTGGAAGCCTCATACTCATATATCACACACAGTGAATGCATGGAGTTCAGAAGTGTAACTTTGAACCTGGTAAAAACAGAAGAGTAGGAGAATCCTTCAAAGGGGGCCCACATTCAACTGGGCAAAACCACCGAGGTGGGCCTCCATCTGATCTGCAAATCTCCTTAGCTGCAGCAAAGTAATCCTCTACACTGCTTCTCCCATACCCATCATCCCAAAGCGCTGCCAAACCTTCTTCTGCTTCACGCTTCTTCTTCTTCTTCTCCCCCTCAACTCCCAACAACCACCCCTTCGCTTCCTCCTTAACCAAGGAACCACCATTATGATTCTTCGGCGTCCCCACCACCACCGACGAAGATCCATTCACAGACTCCGACGACAACACCGTCGAGCCCCCACCCTCCAAACTCTGCGACCGAACTCCAAACCGGTGCCTCGTAACGCACCTTACAGCACCAGAGACTATAAAACCCCCAACCGAGGCCATCACAGCTCACAGGGATTGAATTGAACTTACTCGACTCAACAAATGTTCACTCCTTTTTGGTTGCCATTGTTATCATTAAACTTTCCGATGCACGGAAGCATGAACCAAGAAAAAGAACGGTGGTGCCTTTTTAGACCATGCGGTCCTTGTTATGCATGTTCCTGGGGATTTATAGTATTAGTAAGAAAAGACAAAACAAAGAAGTTGTGTTTTGTTTGTAGTGCAAGTGTACAAGGGTCACATGGTTGGGGTTCGGTCAGCGGAAAATGCTGAAAAAGGTGAAAGAAAGAGTGGAAGAAGCGAAATTGCAGCAACACAGGAAACGAGCGGAGCGCGTAGTTACACCCGCGCCATGCCATTAAAATCGTCGTGTTGTAAGAAACTGTGCCAGACATAAAGATAACGACGATTCTTGTTCCAACCAATGGCAAATGTGCGGCGTGGGATTTTATTATTTCTAAAAAGAAAGATAAATTAAATCATTAAGACCCAAAAAAATTAAATAACAGTATGACAAAAAAAGGAGACGGACTTTTTTCTGTAAATTGATATTAATACTATTTATTGGTTAGTAAATATTTATTATTCAATAAATTAATGTGTATGATGTTCAAATATGGGAGACAAACAACTGCAGTTTAGTAATCATTTTAAAACATGCCTGTTGTTGCAATTATTTTTTTTACTTTTTTGAGGAATGAAAAGATTAAGAATATCCACCTTAACTAGTACTATTTTTCATAAATGTCTGTTTTTTTTTATTCTGCCTGAAAAGAACTTTTGCAATTGTTGAAGAGCCCTCGTGGAAAAACTTGCATTCAAGGGTTTTGCTTTTTACCGCAAAGAAGCCCTTACGAAAAAGTTGGGTCAAATGAAAACAGCAAGTTTCTAATTGAATTGAACAGAGATACTAAAAGCAGTATACGTCCAAAACACTTTCCATGTTGCCTAAACTTACACGTTTTAGTTTACTAGACGTGGAATAGTTGGCTATTTTAAATGGACGTGATATTTTTAATTTGGACATACTTGAATAATTTTTTTCATAAATAATTTTAAAAAATAAAATTAAGAAAAAATAAATAAATTATTATTTAATTATAATTTAATTTATTAAAAAGTTGTATACTTTCTATAAATTCTTTTACTTTAATCGGAAATTTATGAAAAAGTTCATAATCAAACAATAAAATATCAACTCATTCACATTCTTATTGTCAACACTATGTCTAAACCAAATCCAGAAATTTCAATTATAAAAAAAAAACTTATTTCTTTTAATTTTAATTAATTTATTTTAATAAAAGATTAGCGTTAATTTGAAATTCACTTATCCAAATCCCTGAAATTTATCGTGTTGCAACAAATACCCTTTGTTTTGGCAGTGATCATAGCATAAATGTATACTTCTGTTTATTACTTTTTTATTACCAGTTGTAATTAAATTAAAATATAAAAACATATTTCAAAATCTGTTTGGAAAAAACCTCCAAAAATGACAAGCCTTAATTTGAAATTTTAATATTTAAAGAATTTTATACGTAAATATGTATTAAAAATAGATTTAAGTATACAAATGCGTTAAACAATTTTCTACGCCTTATATAACATTATATCAACAAAAAGCATTCCCTCAATGAAAAAGGAGTGCAAATTTCACTGAATACGAGAATCCTCACTGTAATTTGCTCTATGAAATGAATTATAATGCAGCAAACACTAACAGATAACAGTAAACATCGCATGCCGGTAAAAGTACCACCCATTATGTACATATTCAGTTTCCATATTTCACATCCATTGGCTCAACAAAAATAGAGAAAATAAAAGCATAACAAGGTATGATTATCACAGTTACAACATATAGAGAATAATTTCGAAATATAAACCTCTGCAAAAAATGCCATAGCTACAATTAGTACCGTCACAGTTTCAACTAATGTTTTGCCTTCAGAATTCAATGTTCAATACACTCAAATATTAAGAACACAAGACCCAAATATGACGTTAGATGAGAACTAGCACTGGATATAAAATTACTAATTTGAACAAATGAAAATATTATTAGAATTAACAAAATTTTATGATGTAAATATGCACCTGGACAACATAATTACTCTGGCCAGATATTATCACAATTCAAATTTACAACGTTTTCGTTGTCATCTCTATATCAACTACCTGATTCCTGAAAAAACACCCCACTCTGGCAGTATGATTCCCACTAATCCTCAACAGAGTCAATTAAAAACCTTCATCGCGACAGATGCAGAAGACACCGCCATGTCCAGCAGAACTATGCACGCCAGCTAGATATAGTTCAAAATTTACAGTAACAGCTCTCCAATAAAGAATAAACTATCCAAGCAGGTTTGGAGAATGTCACTAAATTTGGTGATAATGAACACTAAGAATTTACAAATTCCTATAATACTACCGATCAATGCAGGCAACCCAAGAACAATAGTTGCTCAGAAGCATTTTACATAATCACAACAAAACCTGCAAGAATCAATCATAATTCATAGTTAAGTCTGTAATCTTTGTTAAGACGGCATAAATAAAATACAGAAAAATACCTGCAATACACTCTTTCGAACATCCCTTTTAATATTGGTTGAAATTTATTAACAATTACAAATTTTAGCTGGTTTCACTTTTCACTTAACGAGTCTTTTCTGATTTTTTAGTTTTCAGTAAATTGTATACCAATGAGAAGTGTAAAAAATGTGCTTAAAAGAGTAATTACTTATGGAACAACAACAAACTTTATCCCACCAGGTGATGCTTGTATATAAAAAAAATCAGAATAAAAATGATAAGAAAATATTTTTTCCTTTTAATTATTTTTCTTACAGAAATAAAGCTTAGAAAGCAGAAGAAATGGTTTCTGCAATGCATCAAAATAAACAATGACCATTCAGACAATAATAGGCCAAGCTCACTTTTGTCCAATCTGAAGGAAAACAAAATACTAATAAAGATTAGACTTTATCACCTAATATCACTTTTATCACATTCACACCAGTATATTATCCTAAAATAACTATTTCCCCTTTCCTTTCGGTTACATTTACAAAATGTGGTAAATACAGGAATGTAAATTCGTAAGCATTAAATATTATATGGTAGCTCAGAAAAGACAAGCAAGGCTCGATTACCCACCTCTGATGCATATGCAATTGGTAGTCACCTGCTTTGAACTAGTCTGTAATTTAGAACCAAGTCCTCTGTTTTCTTCCATATATAAGCTCGCACTGTGGCCAAGCTCATTTCAGGAGATAGGACCTGTAAATAAACTAAAAGGATGACTAAATGCAGATTACTTAAATGATAAATAGTATCATGCAAAATAAAGTCAAATAAAAACAACATTCAGTCTTTGGGCCAAATGATATTTAAAAAAAAGATATTATCATCATCTCCAACCAGTAAAAGGTGCAATAAGTTTAATAACTTGATTAAAACACAAAATGGAAAATAAAGGTGGTAACACACAAGAACAGTTAAGACTAGAGATCAAATACAAGTACTACAGTCTATTTTAAGACTGCAATACATCAGTAAAAAGGTCAACTAGGAGTGTATAATATCTGAAATTGAGTTTTATAACAAAGGGCTTACCAGTAGGTTAAGAATTTAAGAAGAAAGTCATCTCAAACCTTATTATCAGTTCATCTTGTGATATCCAGTGAAAAAAAAATCTAACACGATGAATAATACCACTACTAAAAGAAATCCCAGCTTTAAGAAACATTCCACTGAGTTTTGGGATAATCAAATCAAGATTATTTAAACCATATAAACCCTAATATTCTGTCCTGCATCATGGACTCCAGAAGTCGGTTAAAATAGTAACTTCGTAATTGCAAATTACAAACCAACATCCACACTACATAATTCTAACAAGCTTAAATATGTTTTTAATTCTTCAAATTTGTATCACTCTTTCCTATAGTCCACCAAATTAAAAATTGTCTTCATTTAGCCTTGAATTAAAAAAAAATGTTAGTTGGATCCTTACGTACTAAAGACGTTACACTAGTTGCTAATGTGGCTAACGTCCATGTCAACAATAACGTGTACCTAAACTAATCATATGAAAATTCACTTTTTAAATTTATTGGCTAAAATATAATTTTAATCTCTCTCAAATTTAGGTCAAATTTAAAGTCCCCAACTAAATGTGATTTTTGTCTCTCAAATTTGAAATTGATTTTTTAATCCAAAAAATTAAAAATATATTTTAGTTGCCCAAATCTCAAATGATTTTTAGTCCCCTTAAATTTAAATATTAATTTTTTAATCCTCTAATTTTGAAATAACTCATTTTAGTTCGTAAAGTTGTTAAAGAATCTACATACTAAATTAAGAAATGAAAATGAATAATTGAAAACTTCATTAATAGTTCTACGTCTCTATTCAAGGTGAAAAACAAATTAAATAGAATAAAAGGAGAATATAGGCAGGTAGTGGGAATTGATCCCACATCATTAATTCGGAAGGCATACTATAGTCAACATTGATTCACCGTTTTGAATTAATGTCTCTGATTCAAAACTCAATACTTTACAAAAAAATTAAAGGAAGGATATCTTAAAAAAATCCCTTAAAATCTATGTCAACCCTTTTGTATTGTATAAATGAGTTTAAGTGAATAACACTGTTTTCCAACAATTTTAGAGATACGATTTATCCCAATTTTAAACTTCAGAAATTTTAAGTATAAAATAATGTTGAGGTCAATTTGTTTAGGAGTTTAAACCCCCAAAATCCAGTGAACCAAAAGGAAAAATTGTATTCACACATTCTAGTTACAACCACTATATTTAATCTCAAAGTTAAAACTTAAGTCAAAACTTCATTCACAACAATGTGACAAAAAATAACGAATAAAGATAAGAATGAACTATATTTTGAAATGTCGGAGACTAAAAGAATACTTTAAATTTGGAACACTAAAAAACTTATTCATAAATTTGAGGACTTATATTGTCAATTTTACATTTGAAGGACTAAAAAATAATTTTAAGTTTGGGAAACTAAAATAAAGTTTTATCCAGATTTTAGGAACAAGTATATATTTTGGGCAAAAAAAATAGAAAAATTGAATTTTCAAATCATTATCCTAGTTACACGAGACCAAAAAGAGCATTTTCTGAAATTCTGATACTAGAAGAACAATTTTTTAATTTGGAGGACTAAGAGAAAAAAATTATTCAAATTTGAGAGATTAAGAACATATTTAAGCCTTCTTCTAACAATATGTAATTTCTTCAATGACTTCCAGAAACACCAAGACGAAAAACTAAAATGGCAATCAGGTTAACAAATAGATTCTAGAAGACAAAAGGAATTGGAAAGTAAGCTAACCTCAGAAAAATAAAGCATGAAGTCAAGAACTTGGTCAATCACAGTATCATTTAAAAAACCATGCTATACTCATGCAACGTCATAATATAAGACAAGTAAGCAACAAATTACTTGCCTGGTTGCTGCACAATATTTCAATAGAAGGTCTAAGCTTTTGCCAAGGCTTAAATCCAGATCGAAAGGATCCATCTCCAACTGTTTGATGCTGTGACTGTGAACCAGTAACCCCAGGGGCGAAACTACCATCAGCATTTAAGCTGTCCAAAGGTTTGTCAAGCACCATCTTCTCAATTACATAATTAATAACCTAAACCAACCAAAAGAAGAGAAAGTTAAGTTCATCATAAGAAAATGTATCATCTACATGTGGTGATATGTTTAGAGAATCAAGGTTAACTTAAAAGCATGATCAGAGTTAACTTAAAAGCAGACGCTAAAAGAATCAAGGCAATTATTAATACCAATTGTCCATTAATATATAAACTTACCTTGTGAATTCTTAATATACGTGGAGCACTTAGCTTCCCTTGGGTGACAATCTGGACTGAGGAGCCTTCACACGGCTGCAAATAGAAACTGCATCTGCAGTGGGTATCACAAGAAAACACATATCAACGAGAGCATTATATAACTAGGCTGAGATTGTCATCATGGTCAGCCAATCAAATTCAAAGACAATGTTCCATTTTTCCCTCTCTCTACACACACACACACACATATATATAAGAAAAAGAATTTAACTATGACTTTTAACCATATATAAATTGATTTCATGTTCAAAAATCCATGATAAGTACTACCATATTTTTGGGTATGATTAAATAGATGTAATCCTCAGAGTTAAGCAATTATGCTGAGGGAACAAAATATACAAATTGTCACAAGCACGACTTATTGCTCTCAACTACAACCACATATTCTAGGAAACTATTAAAATGGAAGGAAAAATAAAGAGGGGGGCAAAATTACTTAGTGTTTTCTCTGGGAGGTAACCGATTATTCAAGACACAATCAAGGCACCACCAGGGGAAGTCTTTCTCATCCTTAGTTCCATCTAAATCAGTAATTTTTTTCCTCCACGGACCTCCATGAGAGCCCTCAGTAATAATGGAAGGAGGGGAAGTAACTGAGAATTCAAACGGAGGATAAACCATAGTATCATTCTCAGAACTACCATCAACCTCAATTCTTGAATGGGTAAGACTTCTAGAAGCAATATCTTTTCCAGATAATAACTCCCCATTAGCCGAAGCTGGGGATCCTGTTCTCTGCTTTCGTTTTCTCAACCAATGAGCCATGAGCCCTTTAAGGGTTTCGCGGCCCAAATTAACCTGCAGAATAACAGGCAACGATTTAGATTGTTCACTCATGACAACTAACTGACGAAAACATTTTCATTATGTCATTGTGTGCATGAATTGCATATTTCTTAAAACTATAAAGCTTCAAAACAGAACTCGGCTAATTTAGTTCAACAGACATAAAAATCTTGATGCTTCCATCATGACCAATATACTATGAACCAAGATAGGAATAATTCCAGATTGGGCAAGATTATGGACTAAAGATGGTATGATGATTATGTGCCACACTAACTGCAATGAATCCCATGAAGATTAAGTGGTTGACACTTATACAGTTTCACGTCAATTATAGCCAATGCTAACAAGTAAATAAGGAGTTGACTTTAATTGTAGTGGCATACCAAAAACTAGGAGCAAAATTAATATAATTATAAATTTAAAAAAAGGGCAAATACATTTTTCAAGACAATGATGCCATTACCTTATCATCTTCAGGCTTGCCGACAATGTTAAGATCTGCTGAATACATTTCTGCAGAAAAACACTGGGGTGTGTCCAAATGAACTGACAAGCTCCCAAGCCTGGTATCCACAGTAAACCATGCAGGAATGCTAACCTAAAGCAGCATTTGCAAAAATTAAAAGCTGGCTTGAACAAATAAAGTACAGAGAACCGTGTCATCTTGCAAAAAAAAGAAAATATAATTGTTAAAAAAGAAATTCTTGATGTGAATCATACCATCTCAAATAACTCTTCCTTTTTCTCCTCAAATGAAACCTAGATAGTTCACAAGTAAAGCAAGAGCTATATTAGTTGAAACTTTGTAAATATCATTCATTTATTACAGTCAATCTTCTTCCCCGGCAAAAAGCAATGTGATACAAGTTACAAATGAAAATGCAACCAGTTGTCACCTTTCCATAATCTTCAATCACAACGCCTTTAGTAATCTCCCAAAGTTTCACTGAACCAGATGCATCCTTTGCCAAAAGTTATTCATCAGGTGAGAAAATAACAGACAAAGGTCATGTCAATATGCAGGGCATAAAAAAATTACCAGAAAACATCACGGTTACCTTTGTCAGCACATGCCTCTTATTATTCAAAACTCCATGTTGTACTATTGCAGGTGTACCAAGGATAGTTAAGGTAGGTTCTTTGTATACAGGAACCTATTAGATCAGTAATTTCGACAATAAAGGGACAATTATTAGTTCTAAGAAAAAGAGAACCCAAAAGAAAATTATTTTCAACAAAAACTAGTTTAGAAGACAAAATCTGTCATATTCACTAACAGGAAGTACTAATATTGGATATCTAAGCTAACATGCCTCATCTATACATGTATATATGCAACTGGTATTATGAGAACTGAGAGCAACACAATGGAAGATAAACATATAAAAAATTAATATAGTAATTTTGTTTCAGAAATAAATGTAACATACAGGGGTAGATCCTTCCAGTGACACTCTTGCTCTTGAAAAAGACAAGTTTCCTGCTAAAAAAGAATTGCCTCTCTGGAAAATCTTTTCAGGGTTGCATCCTTCAGTGGGCCATCTATGAACTGAAGAGTCTGTTGATGCAACCCACATGTTATCACCGTGCAAAGCTAATTGAAGAATAGGGTGCTCGCCAGTACAAAGCAAACTACTCTCTCTGGTTTGCAAATCTGTCAAGTATAACTTAGGATATAAAAGAATACGACATTAGAAGATGGGGTTCGTGAGGTAAACAGGAAAAGGAGATGTTATGTCACATAAATTCAAGAAGTAACAACTAAAAAAAAAATAGTTTGATGTTAATTTTAGTTGAAAGTTGCACTCACTGAAAAGTCTCTCCCCCCACTATAAACATGACTAAACGTTGGGGTGCTGGCAAGTGCCCAAACAGAATCTGTATGAACTGCATAAGAATGCACACATCTCTGCTGACCTATATCCCAAAGCCTGTGAGGAAAGATGGACAAATTATTAGTCAACAACAAAACAAAACGAATTGAAATGCTTATAACTACTCCATATGCAACCATTACCTTATCATTGAGTCTGAAGATCCAGATAAACAATATCTGCAATGATGAACATCAAATCATCACAGCTGACTTGTTGAAAAAACATATTACTTAATTTGAACTAAACAAATTTATTCAGTGAAAAGATACATTGCTGTATACAATGAAAAGAAACCCAAACACACTTTTCACTGTATGATTGACTATTAAACAAGTCCACTCTAACATAGTCAATCAAAGAATTAGGTTGTTCATGTGCATTATTATCTACAGGTTGTGGGAAAACATAGAAATGCCAAATGAGCAAGATCAATGAGAAGAGAGAGACAGAATTTTATGATAATAAAGAAGTTAAAAATAAAAAGGAGGAAAAGCAAGTTACAAACTTTAAAATATAATTGTAAACTGAAAAATAGCAACTAAAACTAGATTTCCACCCCCACACACCTGCCAGTAGAATCCAGAAGCAGAGCCCTGATGTTATCTGTGTGACCTTTTAGCTTTAGAGTCTTTGATCCTGTTCTTGCGTCCCAGACGCGCACAACCTAGAGAATCCCCCAAAAATGTGGAAGAAGAAACAAACCATGGTAAAGAAACATGCCACAAATTCAAGCTACTAAAGCGATACATCATCTTTATATAATAAGCACAAACAAAGCACTTCCAATGTTTCAAAAGTTAAAAAGCCTCAACAAATCAGAGCATAGGCCATACTGTACCTTTTCAGTGCCACCAGACACGAGAATTGTTCCACTTTCATTTGTAGCTAATGCATAAACAGAATCTTTATGGCCTTTGGCAGCAATTGGAATGTATCCCTGAGTTTGATTAGTGTTCATGGACATATTGGTGCTTGAGTTAATAGTTCGCAAGCTTGTCAATGGTAGTGAGTTGCCAGAACCATTGATACCATTTGAAGATTCGTCAACTGTACTGTCATTGCTCTTAGAGACTGGAGTGGTGGCAGCCTCTATATCCCATACAAAAACCTCCCCACCAAGGCCACCAGAGGCAACAATATTGCTCTAAAATGCATGACACTAATAAACAATCAAAGAATGGATTTGACATTGATAATTCAACCAAATTATCTATCTGATTCAATGCATGACATATAGAAACAACAAGTTAACTATTTTCTTGATGCACGAAATAAGAAGCATAAAATGTTTGAAGAACGTTACATTTTTTCCTGCTGCTGCAAGGCATGTAACGTAGTCAGAGTGTTGCCGAAGCGTCCTAGTACAAGTTCCAAGGGACAAGGCATTCCATGTCTAAAACACAAAAAAGAAGATGCAAATAATTATGAAAGTACTTGCATCATTTCAGAAGAGCAAGGATTGGTCGGAACAAAAAAGCTAGCCACCAACAAACCTTGAGGGTAGTATCTGACGAACAAGAAACAAGTGTACTGTCACCAACAAGAACAGCGTCATTAACCTGCAAGAATAAAATAGCATTTATAAATTATGTATTCCATTGTACTTAAGCTGTTGTGCATGTGCTAAAGATTGTGCTGGTGTCAGGTTTTGTGGGTACAACTTAATGCTAACGAAACAGGGTTTTGGACTTTGGGGGAAAAAGTAAAAGTCGAAGAATGATCATAAGTTCAAAACATTGACATATTGAACAAAAAGAATTGCATAAATTTCTAACAACAATAAATAATTAGACAAAAAGAGGATAATTTTGAAGGAAATGTCCACTAGACATTTCAGAATATTATGAATTTTACAGTATAAGAGAAGGCAAGAGAAATAGACAACCTAAAAACAAAGTTCAAGAATGCAGAGATAACTTTATCTCAAACAATACAAAACTCAAATTGAGTTGCACACGTGCACTTGCAGTTTTGGGTTATTTTACACATGAAAATCCAATAGGTTGTTATAGCCTTTTCCTTTTCAACCATACCTTCATAATTAGAATTAAGCTCGTTAAATTCAACACCTCAAATCATTACAGGCAGCAGGAAAGGATATACGATGAAGTACTCCACAAAAAATAAAATAAATAAAAGTGAATGTCAAATTCAGACCATCGAAGCCCTATTTTTGTAGATGAAATTCTAAAAAGACGCAATACTCATCTTAGTATAAACATCCAATACACTCCACAAATAATCATAACCAAGATGGCAAGACCACAACAATGAGAGCTCTTTTATACATAGCATGGTAAATAGATTTCCCACATTGCATTATACACTTCCTGACACCTTTTGACCTTTTGACCTTTTAAAAAAATGCATTATTAACAGTGTAACATAAAGTCCACCAAGAAATTCCTTGTGCAGGAAAAATGACAAAAATAGCTGCTGGGAGGTGTTCCATTGCAGATGAAGCTTTATGAAGTAACCATGATTCAAAAACACTGCCATGTACCAGAAGTTACTAAATAAAAAGTAAAGTATTAAATGGAAGGGAAGAAAAAAAATAACACAAGGATTACCCAATCAACATGAGATTCAAAAGTAGCCGAGCATGTTGCTCTATCCACAGATAGTACCCATCGCTTTAACCTGCCATCACGGCTCCCAGTGAAGAGATAATCAGACCCGTCAGATGCTTCAGATGTAAGCAGAGCCAAACAATTTATGCCTGCACAATGCTGCAGTAAAGAGCCAAGTTACAATTCTAGACTGTTCAACTAAGAGATCAATCAAAATTGAAGGAAATTCAACAAAAACAAGAAATATTGAAAGAATAATATCTATGACTATAAAACCTTTCAAAGAAAAACACAAGTACCTGGCATAAAGGAGCCAAGTACTGTATGAACTATTCATGAAGATTTGATCAAATAGAATGTAAATATTGGGTAAATATTAAAAACCAAAAGGTCAAAATATGCAAACCACCAAGTGGGTCTAAGTCAAAGTAAAAAGAGAAATTAAAATTAAAATTTAGGGTAAACCTCCATCTTGGTATTTGTAAAATTCTTTCAAACGTGAATTAGTACACACATGCTGTTTTCTAAGACCAAATTTATGACAGCCAATAATCAAACATACTCACTAGAGCAGAATTTAAGTCACTGTATTGAGAGGAAGATTAAGTCAAAAGAACTTTTCAAGGACCAAAATGGGAATTCAAAAAATCCATTACATAGTATTTTCATCCAAGTAAAAAGATGTTTGCGTTTACTAAAATCAACCCAATCAGTTTCAACTAGTTAACAGATTTGGAAGCATAATATGAAAGAATTTTTTTGTAGGAGTGGATAAGGACAAAAATGCAACTACTAGAAGCAAGCATGAAACTTGTATGCTACCCTGGAACAAATAAAATAAATAAGTAAATAAAACAGCGAGCTCACCTTAGTGTCATCAGAATCATTCAACACATAGGTTAATCTCTTCTCCTTGCGAGGACGAGTTGAGTTGTTTCCGTTGCTCGCACTACCCACGCGGTGCATTGCAGAAACTGTCAAGTACATAAATCATATAGCTTAAATAATATCCCCAGGGATAGATTGAGAAAATAATTCCACAACAGAAATAAAATAAAACTAAACAAATCATATGTAGTTTATGGATTATGGATTATGATCATTTATTTAACAAACGAAAGGCAGAAAAACTCTCTCAAGACACATCCAAATACACCCACTTTCACAGAAAGGCGTTACCTATAAGGCATAACCGTATATCGCGGGAGCTCCTAGAAACTAACACTAAGAAGTCTCTGTAACAGTAGCTAGTTATTATCAAATGTTTTCAGCCATTATATAAGATGGACCACAGTCTTCTCAACATCCCAACACTGATACCAAAATCTACAGCTCCAGACATGGTTTTTCACAATTACTAAGAAGCCAATAGTTATAGCTCCCACGTCCCGGACGTGATTCAGAACTTCTCAATGGTTTTCGAGACACGCTACATCATTTCTTACAACAATTCCCTGAGAACCTCACAATCCAGGCAAAGTTTAAAATCATTCTTTCCATACTGTCTAAATTACCAGTCAAAGCATAATCGCGTATTAAACGCAGCGAATACTCAATGCGAATCAAATCAAAACGCAGAGTAACGTCATCAATAACAAAAAACACACCCAAAATTCATAACATACTGAACCCGCAGAAGCTATCGAATACCCCAAATCATCGACACAGGTAACGCAGACGAAGAAAAAAGAGAAAATAAAAGGTCGGAAAACGAAAACATAACTCTTCGCACAAATTAACTAAACCGATCATAAAGAAGTATAAGCTAAAACAGACTAATAACGAGATGCGATAATTTGTTTGGTAGAATCGAAAGGAGAAAACAACGGAATAAAACGAAATCCAGCTGGAATAGGAGAAGATGAATCAGTGGAAGGAACAAACCGTGATGAGTGAGAAATTGGGAGCACTTTGAGTGCTTGCGTTTGTTGCAGTGGCAAGGTTTCAAGTTTAGAGAGAGAAAATGTTTGGACGAAGGAGAGAGAGAAGGGTGAAGACAGCGAACATGGGTGTGGAAATATGGGCGTCCAGATTTATTCCGGTAGATCCTTTGACCCGTTTATGCCTTTTATCTGAGGGCAAGATGGTCTTTACAGTCGAAGAAAGGATAAACCAAAACCATGGAGAGAGGAAAAATAAGCAGCATGGCCGATGATTCATCAAAAGCAGCTCCGTCTGCGGAACCAATGCTTTCAATGGGGTTCTTCTTTTTTTTTTTTTTTTTTTCTTTAAATAAGAACGTAGTATTCTTGCGAAGAGAAGTATTAGTTTTACACGCTGTAACAAACTTTTATTAATAAATTATTTGTATTAATTACGTCAATTTGTTATCCTAATTTTACGATTGCAGTAAATTCAATTAATCAAAGGAAAATACCTTAAAAAATCCTTTGTGATTATAGGCTAACTGTAAATTAAATTTCCTTATTACGGTGCATTAAATGATATTATTTTGATTAAAAAAGCCGTTGTTTGCACGCTTTGTGTCAGTTTGTAATTAACATCTTTTATAATTTGTTATGAAGGTGTTCGCTTAGAGCAATATAAAACATCTATAGGAAGAAATATATTATTTATTATTTGAGGGATTTGGAATTAAATTATTTATTATTTGAGGGGTACATCATTTTAAAATATTTCAACCACCGTGTTGGATCTGTGGCATGAAGCAAGACATTTTGGTTGAATTTGTTATGTTTATAAAAACAAGGTTTAATTGCTTCCTTTGTCCCCAGTTTGGTTGAATTGTGTCAAATTCATCCTCATTTTTAAAAAAGTTTCATTGTCGTCCTCACGTGGTATAAAAGTGTCAATTGAATCCAAACATAGAAAAAATTTGTGTCAAAGTAGTCATTTTTCTTATATCTCTGTGTCTTCCTTTCATATGTCACTTCTCTGGAGCTATGAAAAGCCTTAAATTGGATAAGGTAAAATGAATATCTGTACTTGATTGTATTAAAGGAAGACACATATATATAGGAAAAATGACTACTTTGACACAAATTTTTTCTATGTTTGGATTCAATTGACACTTTTACACCACGTGAGGACGACAATGAAACTTTTACACCACGTGAGGATGACAATGAAACTTTTTTAAAAATGAGGATGAATTTGACACAATTCAACCAAACTGGGGACAAAGGAAGCAATTAAACCTAAAAACAATCTACAATTATGTAAAAATCATCTTATGAATCATAAGAAATTAAAAGTTTTTTATGCCATGACATGTCCGATTTTTAATCCTTATCATCTTTTTAAAGAAACAAAAATTGTCATTTTTTTGTACAAATTTACAGAATTGGTGCTATTACGAGACTTTGACATTTCAAATAATAAAACACTTTAATTATATATCACCTGCACGAAATGTCATCAAAAAATATAAATGTACGAGAAAAAATCAGACTTATGCATAAAAAAATAATACTTTCAATAAATAAATCAACCAAATATAAAATAGTTAAAACTATTTTTGAAAAAAAAAATATAAGATACAAAATACTAAAATAAATAAATCATGTATATTTTCAATCCGCAAACATTAAATAAATTATGTCAATGTTCTTAATTTGAGGTGAAGTGCATTTTTAGATACGTACTTAGCATAAATGTGATTGATTTTCATGAAAAAAAAATGTGATTGATTTCTTATATTCAAATAGAAACGTACTTTTTTCATGTTGTTTGGATTGGTAGCTCTATTCCACCATATTATATGAATTTATTGAGTATTAGAGTTATACTCCTACTTTAAAACCCCATACATTTATTTAGCATATTATACATGCTCAAATACTTCAAAACCCATTAAACATGCTTGATTACTTTAAAAAACACAATTACGCGTGATTGTGTTAATGAACTGTATAAAGAAAGGTCAACCAATAAATAATATCATGTAGATTTTCTAATAATTAAGTCCATTATTTTTTACAACAAAAATATGATTTGAAGAGTAATATTTGAGTTTTATTTTGTTATCTCTAATCCATAGTTTTCATATAAAATATCTAATAAATTAAAAGTGTGTAATTTATATAAGTTTGTTTGTCGAGATAGGGTAAGATTGTTCACAAAACCTAAATAAGAACTATTTTTTAAAAGTTTTGTTGGTGTCTAAGTGTATATACATGGTCAATATGTTGAATCAGCATCTACCCTTTATGTCTTGTTCTCAAACATATAGAATAAATTATTTATTAAATAATGATAACAATGTTCTTAATAAGGCGATTAAGAACAAAAATGTTATTGGTTTAGCCAAGGAATGTTTCCTTTTCTTTTTTGTGATTAAGAATTTATTTAACATCTTGTATTGGGCACTGTAAGGACAAAAGTTTGTTATTTTTTTTAAGAGTCATTTATTATATATTTAATATTATAAAGTATCAATTATCTTTTACATATTCATTAGTTTTTTTATAAGATACATAAACAAAAACTCCCAAAATAAGGGTTGCAAATAATCATTATCAATGTATTTATGATTCCTTCTACACATTTTATTATCATAAAGTTTTTTTTTTCATAATCTTTCCACAAAAGGAAAATATATAAATAAAATATCAAATGGAAGATGACCACTCAAGCAAGAGATGTTAAAGTCTTATAATTTTATTAATAGGTTTTGAAAATAATTTGTGATTATGTTCTTTGATTTATATTTTATGTGATGTTTGACTCATAATCAATTCAACATATTATTTTATCAATATAAGAAATAGATTTGATATTGGTTAGATTTGTGGTTCTATTTTGATTTTACAATTGAAATGGCGAGTTAATAAATAAAGACTTTAGACTTTTGGTTTTTAACTAAGGCATATTATTCAATGTAGACTTCAAGAACTAAAATATATATGATATGAAAAAAGATAAAATTATTTAAATGTAAAAATGAGAATGTGTTTTAAATAGTAAAATACACAGTGAGCAATGTTTGAACAATGAAAGGAGAAAGTGTGAGCAATTGATCAAAGCTCAATCTTGACGAACTTGTGATGAAGACAAAAACGCGTCACGATGTGTCTTCTTATTGCAAACACACATTAAACATGTCAAACAAACATGAGAAGGATAAAAACGAATCTACATATAACAAAAGATGGTTCATGATTATGACCAATAATGGAAATGGAAAGGAGAAGATAAAAGGATGTTAATATAGAATCTTCAAATTATACGAATTTGATCATAGGTCTTTTTTCCAAATATTTATCTCCTAAACACAAAGGAAAAACATTTACAATTCAAATTATTTATGACAAGGTCAAAAATCAAAACACGTATTTACTATGTTTCATGTAGGAGGGAATTTAAAGAACAAGAAGATTATAAACACAATTGGAAAATAATTTAAAAAATTAAATAAATTGTAATTTTTTTTTTTAATTTTATAGAATGTAAATTCCCCGAACAAACCAGTACATTTTTGTTAGGTAAGCGAGTCTCGCTAGACAAAGGTCAACATATGTAATTTTTGTTTTATGTTATTTTGATATGTTTTTGGCTTTGGATTTGTTTTAAGGCTTGTAGGTTCCTTAAACTTAAGTACCAATTTTTAAGTCACATTATATGCATTCACTTTATTTGAAAGATGATTCTCTTAATTTTTCAATTAGAACTATGATTTTAATAAAAAATATTATTTTTATGACAAATTTTCATTTGACTTATCAAACTCTTGGATAATAGTGTATCCATCGTTGCTTTATTCCACATTACTTTTTGATTTATTTTTGTCGTATCTTTTGATGATTTAAATTTATTATACTTTTTTTAATAGGATCGTAATAAAAAGAAATGAGACCAATAATTAAAAAAAATAAAATACGAGCTTTTGTCATTTAAATAAAGACTACAACATATGTTGTGACATCAAAGTATATTTTCTAAAAATCTAACCTTAAAAAAGGAAAAATAAACTTTGAAACTTATAATTATAAAACTAATTTTAAAAATACTACACATTTTAATTTTCTTTTGTTTTTAAAACAAAATTTATTAAGCAATTCTCAAATTAGCCGCATTACATTTATAACGTGCTATATTATTTCTAACATCTGACTTACATCATAAAAATTGTGTTTGTTGTAAATGAAAACATTTTTCTAAAGTTCTTTAATGGATTGATAGAACTTTTTTTTTCTTCTAAAGAATTTTGTTAAATGCGTTTCACATCCCACACGTCAACAATGTATTCGAGAGTATGTTTTTCGGTGTTCTATAAGATGACATTTAACAAATTGTTATACATGAAAAAGAAGAAAAAATCTTGTGCATCATCACAAGAAATTTAAATGAATGAAAATATTATTTATTTAAATTATGTGTTTTAAAACACTAAACAATATAACAATAGTCAGATTTGGAATGAACCATTTGCAAAATAGTTACATATTAAAATACTAATTACTTATAAATGTTGATCGAGGAGCAATTTAGATGTTTTCCGTCAAACTTATATTTCAAATGAAAATTTATTTATTTATCTATTTATTTATATTTTAAAGAATAGTATTAAAAATGCCACAAACTAATACAATTGTTTGAAATGCTCATGTGTTGTCACTATCGTTTTGTGTGGGATACCACCACTTAATTGGTAAGAAATTTAAAACAAATTAAGGCACGTCAACCCATTTAACAAATTGTGATAAATTATATTATATGGATGGTTGAAAACTCATAAAACCATTTCTTCTATCGTATGCATGCTTAAAATGTAAATGCACCAGAATATTTACAACTCTTTAATTAAGTTATTTCACAAACAATCATACTTAAAAAGTACTGTCAAACGTGTGACATTTTTATCCATTCTAACTAGTGATGTTTTATTAATTATTTATATCACGTAAGTTACTATCAATTATATATATATATATAAAACTATATCAACTATTTTTTTCAAAAAATAAAACTAATCAAAGAATATTCAAAATTTATCAACCTCTATATTGATCTAATTCTATTTTATTTTTAATCTATACAAAATAGTGATTTTATCCGGTTTTAATTATCTAATTGAATATCCTCTTATATCATAAACTATATATTTTTTTATTGTATTATATAACTAGACAGTCATACAATAGAATCAAGGCCATAAAAAAGGACAATTGGCCCAATAGGTTGGAGTTCACCATCATGCATCCTGCAATCCAGATAAACAGTGTATTGACCATACGATTAGGAAATGTACGAGACCGGACAAACACACTCGAGTGATTATAATCCCTAAACAACACTTCAAATCAAGATTACTAGTAAGAGTTACTTAAGAGATAATGAGTCATGATTAGGTTGTGATTATAATTTTACTAATCTCAAACCCATTTTTAAACCTATAAATATGTCAAATATACAAAAATAGATAATTAAATTTATTACAAATTTAAAACCTTGTTGTGATACTGATTAGATTATTCATTTACTTGAGTGTCAGAATTATCTAATCATAAACAAAAATTAATTTTTTTTATAGAAAATATCGACCCTACACCTAAAACATCAATTTAGTGTCACACATAATAAAACAATGTTTGACATTCCTTAACTACATTTTCATCATTCATTGTATTATGATAATTAATAAATAAAAGCATGATTAAACCATAAAGTACATGTAGGCCAATACATCAACAAGTAATTACACTGTTAACTCGAGATAATTTAGTATTATATGGATGTGAAGCATTTAACAAATAATGGATAAAAACTAACATTATATAATTATGATATATAAAGTTTCCAATTTATGAAGTTGAAAAGTATTCAAACTACATGTTATTATTATATTCCCGTCCCATGTTAAATGGCCCTAACTAATCAGGAATAGTCTACCTAATTTTGTAGCAACGAAACGACGCCGAATCACTTTCCCCTTTAAGTTAAAATAAAAGGATGGCGTAAGAATTGGCGTCGGTGGTAGGCATTGTTACGCAATCCCATATGGCGCTGATAGCGTCTTTTTTGGTTCTCTTCTCCACTCTCTTTTCTTATCTTTTCCTTCCAACACTCCGGTAAACGTCGTCGTTCGCGGCAGCGTCTCGGAGAACGACAATGCCGTTTTTACGACGGCGGCGGAGGACGTAGCGTGTGCGAGACCATCTCCAACTGAATGGACTGCACATGCACAACATCATCCTCCGCAAGGGAATTAACCCGCGCACCAGGGCTCACTTATTCGACGATCTCTGACAGTAAGCTCTCTTTCCTGCAATTTTCTCTTTAAGTCGTTGTTTTTCGGATCAGATGTATTTTACGGCCATTTTATTTGTCAGATTGATAGAAACGTGCACGGGAATCTGCATATTGGGAATAGATTTGCGATTGAACATGAGTTTGTTTGGGTTATTCCCGTCTTGTTGTAATTGTCTTTCATTGTTATCTTTTTCTTTGTTCGGCCACTGTAATGGTATGTTTCATTGCTGATAGTAGAGTGTTTTTCCTGAATGGCACTCTGCCGTTAATTTTACTTTGATAGGATTATGAGCTTAAAAGTTTCACAAATAACACTTATTTTCATATATTTTTATTTTGAAATTTATTTAATTTATTTAATTTATTAATTAAAATTTTATAATAACATTTTATTTTAATTCTAGTTTATTTTTTTTAAATTTCGTTTTATATTAAACTATTTTAATTCCACACTGTGTCTGTTGTCGATCCAAACCATGTGACTATATATATTTTTTCTTTTCTACTCATGTTACCTTCCTTTTTTTCCTTTTTTTTTCTCCCCTCAATTTCATCCTTCAATCTAAACAAAAACATTATAAATATTTAATCTGAGTTTCGTTCCACTATCTCAGATTCATATTCAATCCAAACATTTTTGGCCGAATACGGCAAAATTGTGTTTCCTCGAGAATTGAATTACGGTTGCTAAACCTAGATATACATAAAGAATGACTAGAGTTTGGTTTTCGGGTGCGAATTCTGGTCTTCAATATTAAACTGTGCTATTCTTGTAATTTTTTGGGAGGGTGAGTAAAATTAACGACAAATAGTGCCACTATGGAAAAAAGTTTATAACGTGTATTGTATAACTTTATTTTGGTTTATATTTTAAAGGGTGTAGTCATTTTTTAAATTTGTATTGCATTAGTCTCTTTTTTTTGTGAACTTAGTTACATTATAATTTTTTTACCTATAAACATTAAATGTCAACATTATGTTAATCTCACTGAAAATAAACTCAATTTAGATTTCTGAAGTTATTAGTTTTCAAAACTTGGGCATGTGAAATAACCGAATAGCCGATTCTAAGAAAAAACCTTGCAAAATCAATTGATATTTCGTTTTAAAAAATAAATAATGTAAGTTTAATCTCTTTCTTTTCCTTGTGAGATTGAGAAAGATAACTGACCACAAATTACTAAGTTATATAATCACTATTTTTCTCACTCCATATCCTGCTTAACCAGGTAAACAGATTGAGATGACGTATGGTAATAATTCTAGAAAATTAATATAAATTATAAATTCTGATATCACTAACTAAATTAACTAATTTTTTGTAAATTCCTTAAAAGCATCTTACATAGGGACGGCCAGGGTAAATACTAGACATCTACGCATAACGTAACTCAAAGCTAGATGATTTCTCTTTCCTTCGGTCTGCATTTTTGTAATAACTTATAAAATCTTAATAGTGTATTTTACTATTATTTTGTCAAATCTTGAAAGCAGTAGTATATTGCCAGTTTTGGATTGTAGGAACCAGGTAGACTTTGGACATTTGTGCATTGGAAAATGCAATTCTTTGGTTCAAATTTTTTTAACCTCTTTGTTTGGATTCAAATTGTTCCAATTGTTGCAATTGTTGCGATTTTGTTATGTTTTACATATATAAAGGTATATTGCATTATGAGGAACTGGTTCAGATAACCACACTGCCTTACCGTGTTCTGGAGAGCTTATAGTTGAGGAGCACCATAGTAATTATCGAGAACATTGGGCAGGTGGAAGAGATGTGTTTGAGTTTCTCGCTCTGTCTAGTGAGTTGTTGGACTTGAGAGGTTAGCTGATTGATTGAAACCTTATGATGGGCGAATTTTTGTAACATGTTATGAAGTTATGTTCTCAGTTGGGAGGAGAGGAATGCACCAGGAAGCTTACGAGTTTAGGGCTTGAGTATACAGGGAAGCATACTCATTATAGTTTTCTATTTGATCATTATGAGATCTGGTTTGAATTTGGCGGTTCAGGGCTTAATTTAGACACGAAAGTGGAAAAAAATTGGAAATAATCTCAGTGCAGTAGTGTTGTGTCTCTCCTCACAATATCTTTCCATTCCCTTGAGCAACTCCATGTTATTTTTGGGTTGGTTAGGGAGCGAGCTCAGAAGTAAGAACTTGGTTTGTGGATTTCGACGTAGAGAAGGATCATATGTGATTTTGGCGGAGAATTCAACAGAACCAAAGCCTTGCGATTATTTATTTGATGTAATTGCTAGCCTGGCTTCTTTTCTGATAAAATTATTTGATGTAATTTAGTCTATGCTGTAACAGTCAGAGTTTTGCCCTTATTCTATGTTGCAACTGTCATAGTTCAGCAAATTTCTTTCTCTTTTTTCTTTTATTCTCTTATAGAACCGGATTTAATGTACTTTAAAACAACAATGCAACCATATCTCCAAATTTTGTGTCAATTAAAAAAGAACTTTTCGGTAAATAGTTACTATACTTTGAGTAACAGAGATGAATATTGAGTTACGCAATTCATTCTATAGTATTATTGCAACAACATTTTGAACTATTTTATTCTAGAGAAGGATAAACATAGCGATCGGGTTCCATTTTTATATCACTGAGAGGTTGTTATGTTGTTCTGCCACCGTTTTATATACACAAAATGTAAATAGAAAAAAAAAGAAGGAAGGGGATTTGGAAAGGAAAAGTAAAACAGTGGCGGTTTGTATTAGAATCCTCAGACAAAAGTAAAAGGAAAGTGTTTCATTAATATTGAAATAAAATATTAATGATAATTTTTAGTCTAGATTTTGTTTTCAGCATATATAAGTGTCTCTATCTCCCTATATATATATCGGTTGTTTTAGATTAAAAAGTATAAAAAAATCAAGTGATTATTTTTTTAGAGATTTGAGAACAAGCCAAAACTAATTTATATTTGCTGAGTACTGTAAAAGTAAAATCATTGTGTTTGTTTACTTTTCAAAAAAAAAATAATTTTCGAAGCGGTTCATGCGAGGAGAAACTATTCAAAACAGGTTATTATTTTAATTAACCTTTGTATAATTTTTAGCTTATAATCATTTTAAAAACATGAACAAATAAATTATGCATAAAAGGGTGGTTATTTTTATTAAAAGGACGTGTTTATTTTAAGAAAAAGAGTTGCAAAACATTTAAGCATGGGTTCATAAATTACTACAAATAAATTATTTATGCAAACTTAATTGATTTCTTCAATTTATATGTATCACAATATGTTTTTTGAAATAGTTTTATTTCAAATCTATTTCAATCGATGAAAAAAATGTATTTGGTGTATATCATATTTTGATCCATCTCAAACGACAAGAAACTTTTTTCTTTTTAAATAGTGTATTATTTCAATATCAGCTTTAATAAAATATACGCATAATAAATTTTGAAGTCATTACAACTTAAATAACAACGCTTCTATGACTAATTATAAACAAATTTAATTTTATAATATGATAATATAATATGTAATTTCTTTAATTAAAATAATTAAAAAATCTAATAGTTTTTTCGATAAAAGAAGTCAAGCACATTATGAACTTATGACTTACAAATGTTTAATTTATAAATTATACAAGTGTTTAATTAATAAATAAACCACAAGGTTCCGACAGGCGCAGTGAAGTTCAAACGACGTCGTTTAAGCCTAAAGTCATCATCCTAAATTTGAGGGCAATTCTCTAACCTCTAGCAGAGTTGCAGCCATAGAAGAGTGCAGTAGTTGCAGAGAAAGAGTATTGAACTCAAAAGTTTCGATGCCTTTACTTCGCATCGCAAGCAAGATTTTACATTCAGCAGGAAATCAAAGTTGCAAGTGCCAGCACCGAACAATCTTTGCTACGGCACAGTTGCAGGGTTCATGGATGGAGAAGGTCAAAAACGTCATCACAGGCCAGAAGACCACGCAGTCCCAGGGAGACGCGGCGCAAGCGGATTCCGATTCATTCACTCTGCTTCGTCAGTTCCTTTTAATTCCAATTTCGCCCTTCCTTCTCCTTTCTCACATATCTCAGAAACTGTTTTTACATTTACTTAACCTAGTAAGAATAATGATATTATTGATATCAGGTTTTGCGGATGAAATGAAGAATGCAAAAAGAATTGGCGCTTTTAAGGAGTTTATGGTTGGACGAAGCAGCGAAGCCACTTTTTCCTCTGCCTTCGAGAAATACGAAGCCATAATTCGATATCTTGGGGTTTTGGACCCCACTGGAGAGGTTTCTGGATAAATTCATGCTTCACGATGTTTATTTATGCATATATTAATTGATTTGCGATTTATTCTTCTGGCTTTGATCCTTTTGTTTTGTTATCTTCAGAATCTTCAGACTGCTCAAAAGCAAGAAGCGGCAAAGCATTGTAGCTGCACGATTGCTGATGTAGAGAATGCACTTGCTAAGTTTACTTGGGCCAAAGAAGCACAGAAGAAGATAGAGAAGTTAAAAGAAGAAGGAAAACCATTGCCAAAAAGCTTTGCTGAAGTAATGCTTCTTATTATTACTTTAATTCCTTGCTGAAGCTGAGTTCAGTTGATAATTTTTTGGAAGAAATTTTAGTTTTGTCATTGGTTCATTAAAAGCTTACCGTTTTTTTACTCTCGCTTTTGTAGTAGTTCTAATCCAAAATAGGTCTTGATCGGGCAGTTTTATCTTGATATTTAGGGTTTGGTATAAGTAGCACGATTTGGGTCAATTATTAGTCTAACAAAGTGCAGAGCCTCGGCCCTTGGATAAGGTCCATAGTTTATTTCTTGTGATAATTTAAAACCTAATTACTAGCTTTTTCAATGGGATGGCAAAATTTCAGAATCATGCTGTTGATTCTTTAGGACTTCTTTCTTGATTTCGGCTTATGTTGCTGGCAATACTGTACAGCATTATGCTTCAAACAAAAACAAACTATCTAAATGTTGATGTCTCCGTCAGTGTGTTATATTTTATTTCTTATCTTTTGTTGTTGGTATTGATAATCATTTTTTCTTTCAAAACTTGTTTGATTTGGATGTATTACCTTTTTTTGATGACTATGATGCGTGTGAGTATGTGCAACAAGATAACAACTGAACTTTGAATGTAAAATAATTAGTGTAATTGTTTTTCTGGGTGCTTGCTTGTATTGTAGCCAAGTTTTGATGACCAACCATATTTATATTTCATATTCTCTAGGTCCAAAAGCTGGTTGGTTCTACCCCATTGGACCTTGCAAGATCTAATTTGGCCCAATCTGGACAAATTAGCAGGAATGCGCTCTGTCCATGTGGTTCAAAGAAGAGATATAAAAGGTTAATTTTTCTCCCTTTTCCTGTTTTGTTCAAGCGAGTAAAATATTACTTTCTGTCCATACTTGCTGTAATTCCTTGGTTTTGTTTGCATACTTTTGAACACTGTAGCTGATTATGAGGCTAAAAGAATTGATTTCAAAACTCCTTAATCCGTAGCCTCCGTAGTTCGTTACTATTTGTAATTTCTGGTTAGATATTAGAGTACTTACTGCCTACTGTCTTTTCTTTCTTAATTTGTTTCTCAAAAGATGGATTTATAGTATTAATACGCAGTGGTGTGTTAGAATACTTTCCTGCCTGCCATTGCGTTGTTGCGTGTCTAGTTGTAAACAGTAGACTCTGACATTTCTTTCTTTTCAATTGAAATAGTAAACGGCTTCTTTTATCCCCCAAATTCTATGAACTTTAATTTAAATTGTCCAGAACCCTTATGTTCCTGATTATTAATTTATGAAGGTGCTGCGGAAAGGATTGAAGGAATTCAGAGATTTAAAGTTAAACTGCAAGTAAGGCTGATCGGCTATGGAGGTACCCCTACACATTGCTGAATTGAGTTACACCCAGTTTTGTTCAGTACCGATCTAGCTGCCCAATTCACTAGACTGCAAGAATACCACCGACAATAAGTTAATTTAGGATGATATATTTTGCTGAACAGTTGAGCAATTTTGTTTAGCTTTCCAATTTTTGAGGTGGTCACAGGCAACATATTTTGATCAACTGAAGAATAGTTAGTTAGTTCTCTTCTTTCTCTCACACCTGCCTTAATGGGCAAGGGAATAAGAATGACTGTATTTGTTTTAAAATTCCAAATGGTTCAACTCATTTGTTTACTGATATATAACATTATTTTAGTAAATCTATTGGATTCGGGACTTGGTACTCAAGTTGCGTCGATAAATTTTGGTTTTGGTATATTTGGTCAAGGTGAAAAAGAGATTGGATGAGTAATACACGGTTCAAAGATGGCAGTCAAGTGAAGTAGTCAGGAAAACTTGACCTCATACTCACCCATTGGAAGTGCTTAAATTAAACTGGGATGAAAAATTAACAGATGGATGCGGGAAGTATTTGCTCAAAATGATCAAAGTTAAGTGATTGGACTCCTATATAACTTGTCTCTCTATTCCCTGCACGTGTTATAGTTCTAGCATATCTAAGCAATTTATGTATAACGTTCTCCTACCTCATGACATTCGAGACACTATCAGACTTTTAGTTTATTAATTAGAAATCAGGAAAAGAAGATATAAAGAAAAAAAAACAAATAAAAGTTAATAAATATGTGAGATATTTATTAGCTTATGCATAAACTAATTTTAGTTTACAAAGAAGTTAATTTTAATTTCCTTTGTGGTTTTTACCAGTAAGTTAAGCATAATTTTTTTATAATTATTTTGTCATCAAACACAATTGTAACAAAATACCGTGCCAATGCAAGGATTATTGATCTAAGAATGTTATGGGTCTTCTCGAGTTAGATGTTTGTAAGGTCATATGAATATTTTATATTTCACTCATCCTTAATTTCTTTTTAATAAAATTTCATCCGTTAAACATGGGAAAGTCTATTTCAGTTATTCGGTAATTAGTTCAAGCAAGAGATATTGTTCAACAAATCAATGTTTACAGAAGAAAAGTTGAATTATTGTCTTATCTCACTTCCAAAAATGTAAATAGGTGCAGGAAGTAGTACATTGCTAATTTCATGTTCTGACATTATAGTAACAGCAGCCTGCACTATTCAAGCCAGTTTAAACTTACTTTTAGAGAAAACCAGTTAGAACACTTCAATCGTGACAAAAGTATGGTTCTCATTTTATATATTAGAGGTAGTTTTCATTTCAAAATCTCGGGAGTTATTTTGTTTGGTACATGCATTCAGAGTTTCTATTAATAATCCCACATCGGCTGTACTAAACAGGCGGTAGCCTTTGGGGTGTTTAAATAAGAATGGACTCTCGACGTTGAAACATACTTACCTGGATGGGGTCTATGGGTGATCATAAAGGCCCATGGCCTAAGTTGGTAACCTCCATTGCACACAGGAGGGGTGCCCGCTTAAGGTCTCCCTAAATGGGAGAGCCTACATCGTAATTTGTGTTAGAGGGGGCCTGCGTCCGCGCGGCCCCTATTATAAGAATTCAAATGTTGAACTATATTTAACTTAAGTACTTAAAACATTTAGTTGAAATGGTTTGGGACTATGATCTTAGTTGCATTTGGTTGGATTATTATTTTCAAAATCTAAGAATCAATAAAGGAAGAATAGGACTGAGTTTTTAAAGAAAGGACAGATCAATGACCTCCACCGCTCATTATCAAATTCTGTGTTGAAACTTCCATGCCAATTTTAGTTTCGCGGTAGTGGGTGCTGAATCTTTAATTTTTTGTCTGACATTTGAGTACATTGCTGTTGGTATATATTTATTGTCTGTCTCATGAAAAGTTATATTGAATGAACAATATAAATCTATGATTCACTTACCTATTTTAGTTTCTTTGGTTCATCTTTCTCGGTATACGTTGAACATTAGACTGCATTACTGATGTCATCTACCCATTATTGTCTCTTCAGAAGTTGTGGTGAGCCTTATATATCTAGGTTTGATTAAATCGTTTACTATTGAGTTGAACTTAACAATTTACAATCGTGCTGAGTTATGTTTTATTTTAAAATGTTATTTTTTTGTTGTTGTGTATTGTGGTATGTGAGTAAATGCAGGAGGACAGGGATTAGGACTACAAATCATGTGAGATGTAAGCGATCTTTTCCTGCACTGCTTGAAGAGGTGCCTGAATTCAAGTTTACTAAGCCGTATAAGATTTAATATTTAGCAGGTTGAAAAGCTGCTGGTTCAATATCATTTCTTTTTAAAAATTTTTGTTTTCTATTTTTTTTTTTTTCTGTTGTGGTAGTTTCTGTTTGTTCTTCAATTAAACTAGTGAAATATTTCTGTCTATTCACGCTTGCTGTAGTTCTTGGTTTTTCTGTGCATACTTTACACAGTAGCTAATGTGTTGAACTTTAATATATTTTATGTGTGACTAAATGAGTTGTTCCAAATTCCCTAGGACCCAACACACATATAGCATGCTACTTTTCTATCATTTAGTAAGATATTATTGTAGTTTGCTGTCTAATTCATTTTATTTCTCACATCTCTATCAGAAAATCAGTTCTAGACGATCAGTAAAACAACAATTTGTATTCAAACAGAAAATGGTAATATGCATAATATTTAAGCTGGAATTCGGGTTGTATTATTTATGACATTTACTATTGCGTGCTTATTGACATTTGTCTTTATTTTTTCTTTTAATCAAAGTAGTAAATGACTTTTCTTTTATCTCCACAGATGTTATGAATTTAATATTTAGCATAAGAATTCCATAATCTTAGAGAAAGGGTTTTCAAAATTGACCAGTGTGTTCCTCAGTATTAATTTATGTAGGTACCACGGAAAAATTGAAGGAATACAAAGGTTAAAAGTTAAACTGCAAGGAAGCCTGATCTGTTGTGGAGGTACTCTCTCCTTATGGCTCAATATATCTACAGACATTCTTTTTTATCCAGTGCAGGTCAAATTGCTCAATGCTCTATACTGCAAGCATGCTCACACACAGTAATCAGATTTTTGGATGAGAGTTTTTGCTGAACTGATGCATGATTTTGTTTAGCTCTTAAATTGTTTTTGTTGTCATAGGTAGAAGAGTAGTTAATTTGTTTTCTTTCTCTTTCTTCTGCCTAAATAGGCAAGAAAACATACTATTTAAAAATCCACCAATCATACCAAATACAGATTGACCTTAAACATCTAAACTCTTTTATATATAAGGGTTTAAAAACATGGGAAAACAAAGACAATAGTTGTTAGACAATCCTTGCGTATATATACAAATACAGTATCACAGGGTTAAATTTTATTACAGGTTAGGTCATGAATTTAGTTTAGTTTCCGCAAGTGTCTCTTGTATTTCTTTTCCTTTTTTCAAATTAAATCCCTTAGAATGTAGCTAAGTCCTGCTGTTAATTTTAAAGGGCTATTTTGTATTGAATTGGAATACCTATTGCTATTCAATATTGTTTGGTGTCACTTTATCTCGCTGTGATTGACATTCTACACTCAGTATTGCTACAGCTACAGCTACTTGCAGTTCTAAATTCAAAGTAGAAGTTTGATCGAAGTGTGCATTGTCTTTTGGTTTGAAGTGGTTACAAATTTGAATCCCAGAAGAACTCTTTCTTTCATCATGTGATAAGAATTTTAAGACCAGGAGTAGAGATGCAATTAGTATGTTTGGTTCAGTTTTTCTCAAGCAACAAATGCTAACAGTTTTCTAAAAAATAAGAGCCAAAATGGAACTTCTGGCTGTCTGTTCACCATGTTGAAACATTGTTTCCCTAATACTGAAAAGGATTTCAAAACTAATGTCTTCCCCATATTGTCTTCAGTAATATTTATATAAGAAACATCAGTTCAATTAAAATCTGGTATTTTCTCTGTGAATTTAATGAGTTCAGTATTTAACAGCAGAAAATCCTTAAATGCCAGACATACTTGGGAGTGATTGGAATGCACCTGGATAGAATTTCTCTTAGTCCCACATCACTAAAAATAAACATTCCTTCTGTCTTATACACTTTAAATATAGTGTCTCTAGCAACATTTGAACATACTTACCTGGACGGGGTCAATGGGTGATCAAGAAGGCCTATGGCCTAGCCTGGTGACTTCCATTGCACTTAGGAAGGGTGCCCGACTAAGGTCTCCCCAAGTGGGAGAGTCTACGTCATAATTTGTGGCAGTGGGGGCCTGCGTTCGCGCGGCCCCTTCTAGTTATAGTATAAGTATTCTTGTTGTTTGCTTAGCATATAGAAGTAGTCTTCTTTTTAGTTAAAATTTCTGGCTACGGTTATAATATTCTGATTACTAGTTCAACATTTAGTTAGTTGTAGTTAAGTATTATGATTCTTTTCCTGACATTGTAGTTATAGTTGAGTTTTTCTGATTATTTGGTTGACTTATATCTTGAATGGAGAGTGGTTTGTAAGTTTTTATTTTAAGTTTAATTACTTGGTTATCTAATAGTATACAATTTTTTTACTGACATTTTAGTTTAAATATTGATAATGTTTTGATTTTCTCAATTTAAGATCAAATATTGTGTAGGTTTTGTCTGGTATTATTCATCTATTTATTGTTCACTGCTGTACTAAATATTACTTTTAACACGCTACTTGGTTTTATAATTTTATTTGACATTCATTTAGCGTAAATATTAAGATAATTTTATTTTCTTAATTTAAGATCAGATGGCCAATTCTATTATGTTTTTCAAAGTGGTTTTTGCTTAAATAAAGTCCAGTATAATGGTAGTCTTTCATTCAATTCTAATTTAATCATGTTTGATAGACAAAAATCCTTTCATATAGTGTATATATATATACTGCCTTGGAAGGTCCTTATCTTTCACCTAAATCAAGATCTGATGTTTTGAAATCAAAACAACCCAACATTTGACCAAGATGGCACCGGTGGATCTGTCTACTACTAGTCTCCGGCCATTCAAGATCAGTGATGTCGATGATTTTTTCTTGTGGGCAGGGGATGATCAAGTGACTAGAAATCTCCGATGGAAAACGTGTGGCTCCAAGGAAGAGGCTTTGGCCTTCATAAGGGATGTTTGCATACCTCATCCATGGCGTCGTTCAATCTGCCTTGATGACTGTTCCATCGGCTTTATTTCAGTATTTCCTTGGTCAGGTGAAGAAAGGCACAAGGCCGACATAGGCTATGCCATTGGGAGGACCTACTGGGGCCAAGGGATAGTCACCAAAGCGCTCAAGATTGCTGTGCCTCAAGTCTTCAAGGACTTTCCCAATTTGCTGAGGTTGCAGGCTTTTGTTGACGTTGAAAACAAAGCTTCTCAGAGGGTGTTGGAAAAAGTTGGATTCATCAGAGAGGGTGTTCTCAGAAAGTATATTTGTATTAAAGGGGTGATTAAGGATTCTGTTCTGTATAGTTTCTTGTCAACGGAAGAAGTTCTTGCCGGTGACTAGATTACTTCTGGTAATATTTGGTCTTGTCTGGTGCAAATAATGTTAGATTCATTGTAATATGTATTTTGTGTATAATGCTTTCCGTGAATTCCTGATAAAGCATTTTCTTTTTATCTCAATATTTTGTCTATGAGAAAGTTGAATCCATTGTAATATGTATTTTATATAACTTTCAAGTGTTAGTGGAAAAGTTAAATCCCAAAACCTCTTTCACCTTCCCATCTACCTTTTACCACTAAACCAACTCCTCTTACTAGAACTCTCTTATTTGAGACTGATTCCTTCATTTTTTGTTGTGAAGTTTATCTTAAATCCGTTAGAAGGAAAGGGTTGTTTCTGAAAAATTACTTTGCATTAATCGTATGGTTTACTTTTGTGGTGCACTTTCCTGATTCTTGCTTAATTATTGAATTTTTGGCCATACTGATTTAGAAGGTTGATTCCGACAGAGGTTTGTTAATCGACAGAGATTAGCTACTCTTTGAAATCTGTAATATAGATTAGTCGCACATCGCTCAAATAAGCGAAAATATTGTTTGCCGAAATAATAAAGTAGAAATCTTATAATGGTTTTTGACCAAAATATTTGGGCTATAAATAAATTCAGACTATTTTTTTGTACGTGTTAGTTTTATGTAATATTTAGGCTTTTGCTTAATAGTTTATTTTATCTCTTTTCCTGAATTTTGTTAATTAGGTAAGCAGTGCAAAAACTGAATATCGTATTCTTTTCGAGATTCTTCAATAAGCTGCAAAAACTGAATAACGTTTTTTAATTCTTTTCGAGATTCTTTCTTCGATGGAATTGTCGTGCAACCACTACCTGGGGTCTGATCTGCAATTGCGAAGTGGGTTTTGGCCTAGGTTCACTGTGCGGAATCACCTTCTGTTTGTGTTTTGCTTCTGAGTTGTTACGGTCAGCATATAGGCCATATCAATCAGAAGTGAACTACAGTATCCAAAAAGATTTGAATCAGATGCCAATATCCTTATACTATACTCACTGTGTGGATTTGGCGAATATGCAAAATCAGGAATCTGCAAAAGGAATAGAAGAAGAATGAATATTATTAGCTCAACTTTCCAAGAAAAGAAAAAAAGAAAAGAAAAAAAGCACTACGCGAAAAGGATTTCTTTGACCTCAACCTCATGATGATGCCCATTTTGGCTGGTTTTCTGCACAGGCGAGTTTCCATCAGCTGCCAATACCCCACCAACATCATCATTAATAATTTCACATGCATTCTAGGAAATCCTCAATATTAACCTAATAATTAATAATTAATCCATAATCAATATTACCATCTATCAGAGTGTTGTTCGATTCAACTTCACCCTCATTTGCTTCAGAAGTTTAACGTCTAGAAGTAACAGAGTGCACCAGGTTAGATTGACCCCCTGGAATGTTATACTCTTACATTGATCAAATTTAAAATGATTTGTTGAAATTTTTTGTCTTTAACTTATATACGATGTTTTTGATAATTACCATTGTGCTTCAAAATTGTAGAGAGAATACTACTTATCTTGTATCACTTTATCTAGAGACGGAGAGGAGAAATTACTAACAAAGACTTGTTCAGAAGAGAGACAAACAAAACTTAACGTCATTTATGCGTATTAATAAATGAGACTTTTGTTGAGTCAAATTTTATCAAATAAAAACGTAATTCACACTTTTTTTAAAAAATCAACTTGACATTCTTCAGCGAAACTAGGAACAAAATAAGTTATTAAGCCAATACTTAGACTATAAACAAATTCAGACTATTTTTTTCTTTGTGTTGATTTTATGCAATATTTTTTTCTCTTGTAAACATTAATTATTTCAGTTTAAGACCCATTTATATCAATTTTCATGTTAAAGAAAATTTTGATTAAAGTGTACATTAGAGATTTTTCTAAAGACAACAACATCATTATGAATAATTAATTATTAACAATATATAATTAAAATCGGAAATAGTTTAACGTATCAATTTAAAAGTGTAAAATGCAATATGATATAACTTTTTATAATGGGTTGTTTGGTTGGACAATTTGATTAATCCCTATAAGAAAATTTCTTTCAACAAAAATCAATGTTATTTAAGATAAAATTTAGTATCATTCAAGTAGAATATTCAATATTGAATTTCTTTTTCAAATACTTTTCCTCCAAATTTTTGGAATTTATCACATCTACTTCTTTATTTTATCCTAATCATTTATGAGGGAGTAGGAGGTGAAGATGGGTGAAATTGAGTAACACGTGATAACAAAATCAAAAGATTATTTATTTAATATGAAAATAAGAAAGAAGAATTTTAGAAGACTTAAAAAGAACTTTCACACACATGATGGGTAAAGAGACATTTTCTTCATTTTTAAAATAACTAGCCATGCTTCTAAAAAATAACATAGTAAAGGAATAATTATTTTTAGACTATGATGGTTCCAGCTCAAATAGCATCTTATAAAACACAATATATTCCTATATCACAGCAGAGTTTCTGCCTAATCAAATGAACTAAAAGTAGGGTTTGGTTTTGAACAAAAAATAAACAAAAAAAACTTTGTTTGATTTTTGAGCCAAGACAATACTTGATCTGAAAATGAGATCTATCCGTTATAATTATTCAATTGATTTTTTTAAAAAATTTAAATTTAAATTTTTCTCAAAATAATTCCAATGAAGAAAATCCCTCCCAACTTGCTTATATAAACACAGATAAATGAAGCCCATATGAATTTGCAATAAAAATGGGTCAGGACACCAATCATTACCAAGTTAATACCTTAATAATTGGTAACAAATTAATTAATTATTAATTCATATAATGGTGCATATAACAGACATTAAATTATATCAGAAACAACAAAATTCATATGAGTATATTGCACATTAGATAGTGACCTAAAATAGTTAGCAACTGATAGTGACTATAACAAAATTTGTCAGGAATCAATCATCCTCTACCATTAAAGTTGAAAATCAAATCAAAATTTAACCCAATAATAATAATAAAAATTCTTTCAATTTATTTATAAGAAGTACATATAAAGATTACAACAAAAATAATAATAATACATAAACAAAATTTTTAAGATAATTTTATTTTCATCCTAAGGGTAAACAACATATAAATCATCAGGATTAAAGAAATAAATTCATTGTATCAATAAAATATGCAAGAGAAATTTCAACAAATGTATAAAATACATACAATAGGTGATAAAAAACTGAACATATTCAACAAATAAGAAAGAATAGCCAACATGAGGAAGGATAAGTGATTTTGCCACAAAAGTTTTTGTTAATTAACTGAAACATCCAAAATTGCCACCTAAATTCAAATCAATTTACACAATTTTGTTCAATATTCTTTTATATATGTAATATTGATTAAATATGCTAATTCGGTATTAGTGATAACTTTAATATTTTTAAAGTAATGATATTGACATATGATGTTGTTAAAATAATAATCTTGGTAAGATATTTATAAATATGGTAACATAGTCATCTTAATTTGTTAATTGAAGTAATATAGTTTTATCATAACTAAATTAACCTGTTTATTAAATATTAAGGTTATAAACACTAATTTTTTTCAACATACAAATTTTAAGATTGTCCAAGTTTAGATGTACCAAATACTTAGTTAAAAAAACAGTGCATGGTCAAACTCAATTGTTCATTGTTTGACACCATCTTCATTGTCTTTTCTTATTTCAATTGTGCTTTTAGTCAAAAGTAGAAGGTAGCTTTCTTCAGCAGCTTCATATATTTCTTTTATCTAAACTTTTATATAAAAAAAATTTAATTTTATCTAAAAAAATAACTTTTGGAATATACAATGCAAAAGTAAAAAATCATTTTCAAAAATTGAAAATGGTTAAGAAAAAAAATGATATCTTGTACTATTTGAGTTATTTTTTTATTTCCAGATTACATAATAAAAAAAGAACAATTTTTATTTTATTTTATATAAAATACAGGAAGAAATGTATGAAATTAACAAGAAAAATCTGTCAACGTAGAAAAGAAAACGGGACAAAAGAGGCCCAAAATAATAGCAAAAACTCCTTAACCAACATTACACAGAAATCTAACGTTCTTTATTGTTAATTAAGTTTAACTTTTTTTATTGAAATGTATTGGTTTGATTCAAAATATTGACATTGCTCTACATACAGTAAAATATTTTATCAACTGTACATTATTTATTCGAGTTTGAGAATTTTTATTAGGAGTTCAGTTTTCAAAAATATTGAGACATTAGTAATTTGTAATGTAAGATCCACTATGTGTGTATGATTTGAGTTTTACTCATACTCCTTATAATCAGGTTATGTTGTCTTCCAGACTAATTTAAAATATAATGTGACCGTTCATGAGTGATTAGTAGTTTTATTGCCCTCAAGCCTTAAGTGTAAGTGAAGATCACAAACGAAATAAAGTTTATTATAGTTTGGTTCTTAATATTAACACCATTTTTCATATGTTATATAAAAATATCTTAATTTATCAATTAAATTTCGGTACCTTCTTAAAAAAGTCATATTAATTCTAATTAAATAATTAAAACTTATTATATAATCTGAAAATCTCAATTGAACTCCTTAAGATCTTTTATATTAAAACGAGTTCTAATATTAACAAAAGAAAATCTCTAATTTTTTTCATATTTATATACTTTAAAAGACTTACTAATAAGTAAAGAAATTGTATAAAAATGCATCCCTAGAATAGAACCTAAATGCCATATACTTAATAAGAGATAAGTGAAGTAACAAAAACACTGCTCAATATATGCTACTCATTGACAATTTAACCAACTGCACAACTACTCATAATCTATGTTGCATTATTACATCACCTGCACCCACCAACCTGAACTTGGCACACCCTTATGCACCACAAACAGCATGTAGTACCCCGCAGGCGCAATCTCCGCCGTCGAGGGCCCCACCACAGTCGCATAATAAGCCTCTCCGCCCAGATACGTAACCCCTCGCAACTTCAACACCACCATCCTCTGATTCTGTCCAAAAGAGTGCGTCGTAAACGACGGTGCCATGATCCTAATCGACACGTCACTCGCC